ATTTCGAAAAATTCTCTCTTCTCTCTCGCTAGCCTTCTCTATATGGCATACGGTGCCTTCGATAGCCATAAACTCGTTTAACTCAACAAAATTTAACTTGTTCAAAATTGTTGATTTTTGAAAAAGTTATAGGATTTCAAATGAAAAAAATCGGACAGAACCTTTGAATCAACCTAGTATTCTGCTTGCAGCTTCTGCTGCATTTGGTCAATTCATTTTGAGTACGGCTTTGGTCTTGCTAAAATAACTGTATATCTTCGAATTTGACCTCTCTAAGAAAGATGCGCAGATTTGCCATCTTAGCCTCAAAAGTGGAATATTTCATAGCCCACTTCTTGATCTACATAATGCCAAAATTTGAGCGCATCTCATCTATGAAGAAAAAAGTCAAGGACAAAGGCGCCAACCTAGTACTCTGATAGCACCCCTAACTTGCAGGTAAAAAAATATCTCATAGAGTTTACATATACAACATTTTAGTTTGACATAACCTACAGTTGGTACGCAAAGTTTCTTGCGCTTTTGTATCGTGGATTGGAGAATTCACAACTGTTCGATGGATGAGAGCGAAATAGAAACTCTACAGAGTAGGGGGCGAATAAGTGCTTTATGATGGATGATGCTTTATGATAAATGCGAACACAACGAAAGCACCTAATGATGACTGAGATTATTGTAAATTGCAAGTTATGTAGAAGAGTTAAATATTGTAATATGTTTAAATTTTGCTCGCTCAAATGCACAATTACTCTGAAAGCCGGTAATTTAGCATGCTCCTTCAGCTTTTGCTACGTATTAGACTATTTTACCACAGAACGACACAAGCTTACCGTTTCGAACAGCATGACTATACGAACTATCAGCAAACATTTTTCGACCAAGATGAATCAGACCAATTTCTTTTAGAATATTTCAGCTGAAATTGAATAAAAAGCGTGCTCGTAACCTAAATCGTTTTTTTTTTTCAATTATACGCATGCACAATCAATATTTTCATAAAAAGAACATACAAGTGCCATAAATTGCACTTTTGATTCAGAAAGCAGTTGCATCGATTATAGATCAGTTGTCCAATTAGGTGCTTGAAGGCACCGTCCACCCAGAGTGGGGGTTGAAGAGATTATGATGGCATACTAGCATGGCCCCAAATTAATCAAATCCCCCAAGTTGCGCAGCAAAAGATTGCTTTAGGAGCGAGGGACCCGCTCCGGAAGGGACGTTATCCGGCGCTGGTCACTCCTCCCAGCTAGTCACCCCACACACTTTGCAGGTCTGCATATGGCGCGCCTGGCGTATAACCGCGCCGCAGCCCCTCTACTTGCATTGCACCGTCCTCCAAAACGGGGTTTTTGGAGATTTTGTGGATGCTCGACCACATATTCGGAATCAGGACCTTCGGAAGGCCTGGAGGCGACAAAAACATGGAAGTCAAGAATTTGGGCGGACGGTGCATTAAGCCTTTTGTTCTCAGCTCTGCTTAAGCAGACAGCAACGTCAATGTGTCAAGCTCGTGTCGCTAGTCATACAAATATATGAGTCTTACAAACTTATTCGATCATAACATTAATGCAGGTTATGCACTTTTTTAATTGCACTATATAAACCCTTGAAAGTACGATCATCCGAATCAGCAAGTCCCATCAGTCTGAATAAAGATACTTTTATAGAAGCAACAAGAAGACGTTTGCATACAAAATTTTAGATTTTTTAGGATGTTCACTTTGGCAGTACCAATTTTCTACGAGCTAGACATACAGACGAAAGTTCTGAAGGTGATGGCGACAAATCAATAGTACATGATCAGGTAAGTGAAAAGTTTTGGAGGGTTTTTTTGCTGTGCGATAGATAAACTGCACTGAAACTGTTAATATTCGGTCTATTAGATGTAGTCGTAATTTCGCAAACTTGCGACTTGTTATTCTGGCCTATGAGGAACTGTGAACAAAACAACGTAAGTGATTGATTTTTCTTTCACTGTACCAAGGGAAATTTTCAAAATTGCTTTTCACACAATGTTTTGCAGCTAATTGACTGATCCTAAGTAAGATAAGGTTTTCTTTTGCTTCAATCGTTGGAGATCACAATTATGATCAAGTCATTGAGTAACTAGTTTACTCTACAATTGGGATCCAGAGTTTTTGTCGAATAACGCAGAGCCAGTTGTTTGCGCGCTATTAGAGGCAATCATATATCACGAGCGACAAAGATGTACTCGAATTTGGAGAGATGATCAATGATTTACCAATAAATAGGCTGTAGTGTTGACTCACTCACGCAATGCGCTTCCAGAACTTAGACTAGAGGAAGCTACACCAGCAATTTCGACAAATCCAAACCACTCCTCAAACGCTGAGAGCGGACGTGCTGCGGCCCTCAAAGGCAGCGAGCCGCAGCCCCAAAGTGTCTGGGCCATTCATTCATAGTATTAAAACAACTAATTGATTGGTTAAGGTAAGACGCGAGTTACAACAGCAAAGGTACGTAGTTTTTTAGATATTACGTGTGATTGAACGATAAGCATCAGTTGCTCATCTGAAACCTAGCTGACACGTTGTAGGCTTGATTGAGGCTTTTTTCAGTTGAGATCAACTAGGCAGCTTTAGTCGGACCAATCTATTAGTTAACTGTTATGTCCGGTCATGTATTCATCCCATTTCGTTTCAGGTTACTACTCATTGCTTTATTTAATAACAGAAGTAATGTTGGGTTAAACTATAAGAACAAAGTACTCTTACGATTTCATCAATGCTTCTTTCCGTCTGCATCGAAAAGATTGTACCTGCAGTAAACACATTAGACAGTGCTGAAGTGGAAATGCATTGACACCATACTGTGAGGCATGCAGACTGTACATCTCAAAGGCAGTGTTCGGTCAAAACTCATTTTGTGGATTACACTTGCCCGGCTATCAGCTACGCTGTATCCGCAGAAAAATCAAGGAAGAGAGCATACACACGGCAAGGAAAGCTTTTACAAACCGTTAATCTTGAGCAACAGTTTCCGCTAAGGCTGAGAAGCAGCGTCGCTTGTGATTATATAATCCTGGCGCCCTCTGGCCTGGAGATTGGATATTGGGTTAGATTCCAATTGCGTCATCGTTTCTCAGTTCCATTAGCTTCGTACTTGTGCGAGGCGTGCCCGAGGCGCTTACTTTTGCATGACACCAAGATTTCAGACCAGAACGCTCAACCTTGTCCGGACACACTGCTATCAACTTTTGGTAGCACAAGATAGTAGGGCTCCCTATCAAGCAAAGCCCGAGCCGGGGCGCAAAATGTCTCTTTGGAAGCGCGAAAATCGTTGCGGAACAACTTCCTAGCGGCAATGCCCCCCCCCTCTCCCATCCAGTAATGCCCGTCCACCCGTGCGCTCCCATCCAATCACCGTTCCCGAGAACATTCCTGCGAATTCCCCGGAGCGAGTTTTGCGAGGTTTCCGCGAGTTTTTGGCTTCACATCCGAAATCAGAGAAATGAGGGCCCCCGAAACGAAAAAAACATGGAATTCGAGAATCTGGGTGGATGGTGCCTTCAAGTGTTCCGTAGTTGACCCGTCCAATAAGATTACATGCGGCTAAACACTTGCTACAATAGATACTAGCTGGCTTACCCGGCTCCGCCGTATCCGGACCAAACTTGGCACACATACACTTCGGGCCCCGGCGGGTGTCACAGTCCACTTTTCGTTATCGATCGATGTCGATTTTACCGATTTTTATCGATTTTTTTGCAGAGTTCACCTACAGGGCTAGGAGTTGGCACAGGGAGGGAAGTGAGCATGGGGATTCCGAATACAATATTAGTTTTCAGAATTATCGATTACTTTTATTGATTTTATCGACTTTTTTTGTAAAGTTTGACCTGCGGGGCTGGGAGTTTGCACAGGGGGGTAATCGAGCATGCTGATTACGAACACAATATTAGTTTTCAGGATCGTTTATTACTTTTATCGATTTTATCGACTTTTTTGTAAAGTTTGACCTGCGGGGCTGGGAGTTTGCACAGGGGGGTAATCGAGCATGCAGATTACGAATACAATATTAGTTTTCAAGATCGTCCATTACTTTTATCGATTTTATCGATTTTTTGAAAATTTGAGCTAGGGGGCTGGAATTTGGCAGGGGTGTGTAATCGAGCATGCTGATCACCCCCCTTGGGGGTGATCAGCATGCTCGATTACCCCCCTGTGCCAACTCCCAGCCCCCTAGCTCAAACTTTGCAAAAAAATCGATAAAATCGATAAAAGTAATCGATAATCCCGAAAACCAATATTGTATTCGGAATCCCCATGCTCGATTACCCCCCTGTGCGAACTCCCAGCCCCGTAGCTCAAACTTTGCAAAAAATCGATAAAATCGATAAAAGTAATCGATAATCCCGAAAACCAATATTGTATTCGGAATCCCCATGCTCGATTACCCCCCTGTGCAAACTCCCAGCCCCGTAGCTCAAACTTTGCAAAAAATCGATAAAATCGATAAAAGTAATCGATAATCCTGAAAACCAATATTGTATTCGGAATTCCCATGCTCGATTACCCCCTGTGCCAACTCCCAGCCCCGTAGGTGAACTCAGCAAAAAAATCGATAAAAATCGATAAAATCGATATCGATCGATGACGAAAAGTAGCCTATGACACCCGCCGGGGCCCGTAGTGTATGTGTGCCAAGTTTGGTCCGGATCGGTTCAGAAATGGAATTTTCTATTCGGAACATACGTACAGACATACATACATACAGACAGACAGACAGACAGACAGACAGACAAACAGACATTCAGCTTTATATATAAGATAATACAATCATTGTTAAATTTGTTTGGAATAATCTGCACTCACAGATCACATCTGTGCTTATACTCACGATTGATTTTATGTGCTACAAATGACTGCAGCTACGTATCAAAACTCATATTGAGGAAAACTACAGGAATGCAAGGAAATAATGAAATAAACTACAATGCATGACTCCAAACATGCCATGTCTAGAATAATGCTAGCAAACTATCTTGACAAGAACGTTGGCGACAAAAAATCTACCGCTAAAGTAGCGTTGCTTAGCACTGCTGGAGAGAGCACTGATGGTGATAGAATGGATCCGGACAGCAGAGTAGGCGACAAAATATCAGGTGAGAGAACATACGGAGATAGGATTAACGGCGACATTACATAAGGATTGAGCACATTCGGTGACAGGACGTATGGCGTTAGCACTTGCGCAATCATTACAGAGGGTGAAAGTACGACTGGTGATAATATATAAGGTGACAATACCATTGGGTTTCCCACCTAAATGGAGAGTTACATTTACGTCATTAGACATATAAACAAGTAACCTGCGGTGAAAGTACGGTAGGGTCCAGCACCATCGGCGACAGAATACTTGGCGAAAATACCGAGGGCGATAAAGTTATAGGACTCAATACCGAAGGCGATAGAATACTTGGCGAGAATATGTATGGAGATAAGGTGATTGGTCCAAGTACTGCCAACTATAAATTAATGGCTAATTAGAAATGGCTTTTGAGAGGTGAAAACTTTTGAAGCAGAATTATCAAATCAGTCGATATTTCTGTAAGACGTTTCAAAGAGAGCCAAAATATTGTTTGCCAAAAAGGAGACATGAGATCATGAAAACCTATTTTCCCGATAAGCAAACTTCGCTGTTCCTGTATATTTAATTGAAGTGCTTGCAATGTCTCCTCATCAACACAATACAAAGTGTCCTAAAAATGTACCTACTTTTTGATTGTAAATAACCTCTGGTAATGATGTGTTTCGAGAAGCTTTAGGTACCAATTTGTAGAGCGAGGTTAAACTTAGATTTACACTGTGGAGCGAATCATCTTTCGCTCTTCATCATTGTAGGATTACGGTACGTGCTTCGACAAGGACTTTAGGCCAATGGAGGCTATATTCTACCTCGGAACAAAACCAACAAGCCAAAAACTCTTAAACCACGGTAATGGGAACCGTTTTTCAAATTCAAAATTTCCATTTTACTGTGATACTTTTCCTAAATTATCCCCGAATCGTAAAAACTTAATTCTCAGCATTTATCAGAAATGTAATCACACCTTCAAAAGAGCTGAAAACACCCGTGAAAAGTTGTTAGGTGTAATCAGCATGCGTGAAAACCCTAGTACACGATTCCTCAGATTTTTTGAAAAAAATTTTGTTAGGTAGTATATTTCACAATGATTGCATATGCTGGAAGTTCTTACAGTAATCCTACGGTGATGAAGAGCCGTCGATGATTCGCCTCCTACTATAAATCTAAGTTCAACCTCGCTCTACAAAATGGTACCTAATTCTCGAAAGACTCCATCACAAGAGAGTTACTTACAACCAAATAGTAGGTTTATTTTTTTGGGACATCATGTATACAGGATAATTTGCAAAATGCTAAGCTGCATGACATGGTATTCAGTGTTGCTATAGAAGCAGCTAGATCAACCACCTTTCAAGATCTACACTTACCGTTAAAATGGATGGTGCAAACATGAATGGTGCTAAGGTTGTGTGTTGTAGCACTTGTACGTCTCGCTTGTAACGACGATGAAACATTTTCGAGTCGTTAGCTATCAAGCGGATTGTATTTCGCAATGATTCTTCTCGTTCTTCAGCATTCATTTTGGCATACTCATCAATGTCGAATGGTAGATCCGCTAGCGTGACATTGAACAGACCTAAATGCTGCTCTACTCGTGCACTACTAAGTCTAACAATAAGACGACCAAACATTTATGCCTAATGTGTGCCTTGCCCTGCTTGACCACATGTTACAGGGTATCGCACTCGTAGATTTTTTGTTTTTTGTTCGTTTTTATATTTCTTGATGACAGAAAGAGAACGCCTTACGACGGCACATAATGTAGAGTACTGATAATTCAAGCAACTCTGTCACGTATACAAGAGGAAGTTACCTGAATTTATCTCAGTTTTGTATAGTGTGTGTGCTTTCTTGGTAACAAATGAGCACTGTCAATGAGCACTGTCAAGTCGCATATAGAACACATATCTGCTTATGGCTTAGAATAAGGTCCGGCGCAGTTAAAACCGGGCCAAGTTAGGTGTCGCTTTTAAATGAAGAGAGCGAAAGGAATTTCGTTCAGTAATATTTGCGATGAAGCCGCGTTAAATTTCAGGAAACATCAGAATCAACTTTGCGGTACATGTTGTCTATCACACGGCTTCATACCCTTTTACGCTTTTTCATCGCCATTAGAAATTTCAATAATAACGCAATTTCGCGTTGATCTCAAAGCCCGGTCCTAAGCAAACTAACGCGCTCGGTCATAAAGGACTTCGTAAATGTTTAAATGTTCCAAAAAAGGATTTCGTTCAAAACCCTTTGGTGACAGCTCCTCCGAGTCCTAATTGAAGTTATCAAAAGTATCTCTACTGTGACTGTTTGGCAGTTTGATTTAGATAATTCTTGCATGCACATTCATGCTTTTCAGCAGGAAATCTCCAAATCTATAGCAGCTTCAGGAAGAAATGGTTATCAACTTACCCTCTTTTGCAAAGATGTTTTCCAACTGTTCCTTTTCAAGGAAAGCGAAATGACGTTTACTCAGAAACCGTTTTTGTTCGGGTCGAAGGCTTTTTTCAAGTCGCTTGAAAGCAGCATTGATAGCCATTGTGATATTGTTTATGCTTTTATCCAGCCTCAATGCCCTCAAAGCATCAATCCGATTCAGAGCTTTTTCGATGATGTCGTTTGCGCCTGCAGATGAAGAGCTTCAGGCAATCTGTCGTTCTTTTCAGTAAGGTTTGGTGACAGCCACTTACCTGTGACTTCCAGCAACAGTTCTAAAACAGCGTTGCTGTCACTGCGATCCAGACCAGCAAACTTCAAAATTGTTGGTAAAGGCAAAATGCTGTCATCGGAGTTGTGCTCGTAGAATGGAAATAGGTCCGGTGACAGCAGCTTTCTGAATCATTTGTTTGATGAAAACAGATTTGCGGAGTGTAAACAAATTTTCGAACCTGTTTCACGTGAAATTAAAAAGACGTCAAAGAAATTTATTTTCAATGCCTTTTTTGAAGGTATTAGGCCTTCAAGTTCTTTCTTTCCTCCAACTTAACATAAACATGTAGAAAACATAGAAAACGCTTTAAAACTAGTCGGCGCAGCTTTTCTGCCTCTCTTCAAAAGTTATGTTACTGAGCTGCCTCATTTTGTAACCATTAAACGTATCAGGGAAACTTCGAACTGTGTTTTTTGACCATGGCCAACTTAATCACAATTTTGTAGACTTTTAGAGGGGTTTTGATGATATTTCAAAAGAAAAAAAAACAAAATGCAAAATTTTTGGCATCCCTAGCTAATTTTTCGATTATTTACAAACTAAATTTTGATGCCAACAAATTTCATATTTAGTCAAGCCAATTCCCATAGACGAACAACCAACACAAGTGTCGCCAAAGTCGACTATAAGAAGGTGAAGAAGATACTGTATTGCACATAGTATAAATTTGGTATTTATCGTTCATCGTTCATTATACGTTTTGCCTTATAGATATTAGTGGTTAGAAGAGTACCCCACGAGGATCAGCCGGACAAGTCATCGCAACCTCACCCTATCACCTTATCACTATTATATTCAGTCAACAATGACTTTGCAAGTGAACAAGTCTAAGGGTATAAGTACCGATGGATGAGCGAGGTCGAGAAATTCTCTCCACAAGGTAGTCTGCTGTGAGGACGCAAGTTTCCGGCTTGATCGGCAATCTCCTCCACAAGTCTTCTACGGGTAGGATTAGATCCAGCAAGTACTCTGGACCGGGAACATTAGGTCTCCTGCTTAGTAAGAAGTTGAAGGACCAATCACTATCTCGGGAAGCACTTCGAAGATTGGCAAGTTTCTGGGACAATTCACATTCGCAGTATTTAAGTCATCTTTGTTTGTACATAATTGTAGTAAATACATAATAGGTAACATAACAGGTACACAATTGTAGCAAGCCAAAAAAGCTTGATTGCTCAATTCTGAGGCACCATACAGACCTGGCAAACCCAAACCAGCATGCCTAAGTAATCATTCCTTTGCTACAACAAGTGTCACCTCTGTGCAGCTCTTTATTCTGAGCGTTCTTCGTGTAGGCTTGCAAAATCATTAAATATATTAGGTTTTCCCTAAGTCTTCACATTCGAACCTTCAAATTGTCAAGATGTAGGACACCTACGAGTTCACAAACCTGTGGCAATGTTTCTGAGTGGATAAGCTACATAATCACATGCGCGAGGAACACAGAACCCTACAGGCAAGGTTTGAAAACTGAGCGCATTATCTTTTCTCAATTTCTAGACATCAGAAAGAGACTGTAAGTATTCATATATACAGGGTGTCCCCAAAGTAGGTACATACTTTTCAACTGTTAATATCTCTCTTCCCATTCTGTTGAGCGAGTTTCAACTTAGATTTATAATATGGAGAGAATCACCGATCGCTCTTCATTACTGTAGGATACTGTAGGAACTTCGGCAAAAATTTTAGGCCATTGAAAGGCATATTCTGTCTCGGAACGAAACCAAGCAAGCCAAAAACTCTTATGCTATAGTCATGGAAGCCGCTGATTTCAAATTGAAATTTCCACCTTACTGTGATGCTTCTTTCCAAAGTTATCCCAGGTAAACCGTAATAATCGAATTCTCGGTATTAGTCTGAAAGGTGATTACACCGTCAAAAAAAGCTGAAAACTCATAAAAAGTTGTGTAGTAAAATCAGCGTGCGCGAAAATCTTAGTATACGATTTTTCAAATTTTTTGAAAAAAAATATTGTCAGATGGCATATTTCACAATGGTTCCACGTGCTGGATCTTACCGTAATCCTACAGCAAACGAAGAGCAATCGTTGATTTGCTCGATGCTGCAAATCTAAGTCAAAGCCTCCTCTACAAATGACACTTGACTGCCAAAAAGACCCATGGGAAGAGAGATATTGACGACTGAATAGTGTGTACTTTTGGGACACCCTGTATATACTCACAGCATGCATGGTCATTAGTTTCGTAAAACTAACTTGAATAATGATCGTTTTTTTGGAACTTTTATATTTTGGAAATTTCGCAGTTTCTGATTACACAACTGTCATTACTCAAAACTGAAGACTTGCGAAAAATTTATCTCAAAAAAGCCAGCTGGAGGTGTAAGTCATTACTTAAAATACAGGGTGTCCCAAAAAATGTGCACACTGTTTGATTGTAAATAACTCTCTTGTAGTGAAGTGTTTAGAGAAGCTTTGCGTACCGTTTTATAGAGCGAGGTTCACCTTAAATCTACAGTGTAGAGCTAATCGCCGATCGCTCATTCTTACTGCAGGAGTACGGTAGAAACTTCAAACATATGGTGTCACTGTGAAAAAAGCGGCCGTTTCAAAAATTTTCAAAAAAATGTGGAAATTTGTGTAGTAGGGTTTTTATGGACCCTGAGTTCGATACCCAACTACTCTTTACAAGGTTGAGAAGCTCTCTAAATGGTGTAACCGCGCTTTTTAAAAACACTTGAAAAACGTCTGCTACTGCTTACCTCGCATAATTTTTTAATGAAGCATTACGAAGAGTGCGAACTGCATATCTAGAATCAGCAACTCTAGTTAGCCCAGTGTGAGAGTTTTCAGATTTTTTTGGTTTCTTTTTGAAACAAAATATGGCCTTTCACGGCTCAAAACCCCATCACAAAAGAGTTATTTACAATCAAACAGTGTGCACATTTTTTGGGACACCCTGTAATTGAACTTTTACATGTTTGACTTTATAGCAGATTAGAGGGTACACAACTGAAAGATTTTAGCATTGCTTCAAAACCTTGAAAACTTTTGTTTTCTCGATCCCTCGCAGAGCTACAACGGTAATTGTACAAAACACTGATGCTTGGCGAAATAAGCGAACTGCAAGTCTGCAGCGTTACTTGGACGGAATTCCGATTCTCTCGATTTTCTCAAGCATTTGAAATTTCTTAGTTTTCAATTTCGAACCTCGCGTAAATCAGAGTTGTTGTGAGCGTTCGGGCGTCTTGTAAATTCACTCATTTTGATCCATCAAACAGTACCAGAATCAAAAAGTATATGACTTACTGCAGGTTTGCACATTTGGTGCAAGGGTTATATCACTAATATCATTATCGATGTGATAATAGATGGGGAATGCTTTCTTTGGAGAACGGAATTTTTTATTGGACTGAAGTGGCGGAGTTCAAAATTTCGAAAGAAATATTACAGCTAAATTAATTTATCAACTGATAATTATCTAGCAACTTGATTAACATTCCGATGATCCTTGTAACCGTATCCCCACCGTATCTCTTACCGTTATTCCTCTTACCCAAATATATAACGAAGACTTACGTCGGGCTATGCGGAGTAGATTAAAATGAATGTGGAGACAGGGTTGAATAAGAAGTAAACCTAAATGCATAACTTACCTGGAATTGCCGTATTTGTCGGGAAGTAAAGAAAGTAGACGCGGTGAAAGAAATTTTGTGTTTAGATTGGAATGCTTGGGTCCAGCTTTCGCCACTCCATGACTGTCGCCAACTTTTTCTGGCCAGTCTCCCATTCTGCAACAGTTTTTGTATTTATATACATTTAGCAACCTTAAAGGTAGTATGCAAGCAAATCTGGTCCCATGGCTCTTTCGCCTAGAAATCGATCAGGGGGTCCTGATAACTAAGGCGCTGCCCAAGGGGCAGCACAAATTGTTCAATCACGGCTGAGAAATCCGTCCCCGAAAACCCCGCGCCTGCGCTGTGACCGTAACCCAAAAATGACTTCACTCACTCTAACACTACGTTCGCGCTGGGACCAATCCTAAATATTACGGTCACGGCGCAGCAGCGAAGTGTTTGTGGATGGATTTCTCAGCCGTGAATAAGTTATTTGAGCTGCGGTTTGGGCAGTGCCTTAGCTAGACCTCCTTTCCATGTAAAAAACCCTATATGCCCAGATTTGCCTGGACACTACCTTTGAAGGCAACGTCTAGCGTCAAATTTGAACATATGTGAATGTAATTGGAAAGTAATTTTGGGCCTAATCAAGACAGTGCACAAGCGGCGGCGCAAATGATTCACCCAAAGCTGACAAGGCTTGTGGCATCGTACAGACTACCCCAATCCCAACCAGGCCAAAATTGACTTGGCGGGGGTCCTGCCGCTAGAGTTTCGCGCTCACGCCTACGGCCTGCTTCTCCGCTCTCTCTTCAATCTTCTTACTCTCTCCGACAGCGCGCATATGCAGCGCAGACGCTAGCGCTGCGAGCACGCAAATTCACCCCGACCGTTCGGCCTGATCCCGATTGGAGCAAACTGTATTAACGGACGATCTGCACTGCCTGCATGCTTTCGCGCGATGGGTCATGGTATGAAACCATGCGAGCATGATGCAAGTCGTCCGATATGGGGTCTGGCTTGGAAATGAATAGCCCAGCCACGAGTGCACCTTTTGAACTGCCGCTTGGGCAGCTTTTCTAAAGGGAAAATCTTTTTAGACAAAGTGCCTTTCAAATGGAATCTACATAATTATTAAAGGCTTCAAACGCTGGTTCCAAATCTGTTTTCATCATCCCTCATCTTCCGAACAGCTCCGGATGCCAAGTTGTGTGTCTAAAGCAAAAAAAGCACGCAGAATTTAGTGAAATCAACTGTTAGGTTCGCTTAGCTCTCAAATAAGGCAGTGTTGAGTACGAGTAAATTACAGAATCTCTACATATACACAGAAAACCTGCTTGTGTGTGCACATTTCGTGTATGTAATCTATAAACGACATTGTGCGTTCAGCGGAGCTGAAACTTTGTACACATGTTCGACTCCGGAAAAGATAGGCCACTTTTTGCGGCGGTTCACTGCACCCTTAGATCAATCTGTGATTGTTTATTTACATCTAGAAAAATAAAAGTTTACCTCATGTAGGGCTGCTCAAATGGGCTTTCTTTCTGGAGGTTCTACAACAGCTTTATTTTCAAATTCTCTTTTTGAATGGATTGGTGCAGTAAATTATGGGAAATCGGTGGATTGTATTCTTTGACTTGTCCAAAGCGTTTGATAAGGTCAATCATGCAAAATTATTGCTTAAGCTTGAAAATTACGGTATTCGTGGACAATTGCTATCCTGATTTGCATCTTACCTACAGGATAGAGGCATGGCCGTTCGTGTAGGGAGCAGTTATTGTAGACGATTTTCTTGCAGCAGTGGTGTACCCCAGGGTGGCATACTTTCACCTCTCCTATTTCTAACGTATACTGCTGATTTACCATCACTTTTGAGAACCCATCCCAACATAAAAGTCCAGGTTTTTGCCGATGACATTAAGATCTATCTTTGCTATAGAGAAGAAGAACAAAATGAGGCCTTCGAAGCCATTAATTCCTCAATTAAAAAAATGATTCCTTGGTCTAGAGAATGGAACCTCCCGGTGAATACTCTCAAATCGAAAGTGATGCACCTTGGCAAATCTTTAAACCATATTTACGTATGTGATGGTGTAGAGCTAGAGCAATGCACTATCACAAAGGACTTGGGTGTTTTTGTTGACGATAAACTCAAATTTTCTTCTCGTTGTGATTTTGTTGCTAAGAAAGCCTTGTCTGTTCTCTTTGTGATTTTCAGAAGCATCCACAGTAATGACGCCATGCTTTTCGTTAAACTCTACAAAACTTATGTTCTTCCTCTTTTGGAGTACGCCTCCCCGGTTTGGAGCCCTTTTTTGAAAAAGAATGTCGAAAAACTAGAGAAAGTACAAAAGTTTTTACCAGAGTTGTTTTCTATAGATGCTATCCCGATCCCGACTGTCCTCAGTCTTTGCCATGCTACAGGTCGAGACTAACCCCTAGCAGTGGCGTATCCAGGATTTCGGCTTGGGAGGGGGACAAAAAAATTTTTCTAATGAAGGTGCGTGGCGTTAGCCACGCACTCCGAAAAATTTTTTGGGACATTTCCCAAGATTTTTCCGGGTCCCTGACCCCAAAATTTTAAAAAAGGGGGCGTGGCGGCAGCCACGCTTTACAAGGCTAATTTAAATTTTTAAAAATTTTTAAAAAATATTTAATTATTTACAAGCAAAAACAAGTCCTCTCCACATTTTTATAATACATTTAAGTAACTTTCAAAAATTTCGCGACCCATTCTCGGGGGGGGGCGCCCCCCCCCCCGCCCCCCGAGCCGAAATCCTGGGTACGCCACTGATCCCTAGGTATGCAAAGTCTAAAATATAGAAGGGTATGCAATGACCTCATCTTTTATTTTCGTATCATACGACTGGAGACTAGATTGGGGCCCAGCAAATACTGGACTTTTAGGCCTTGTGGTTATCGAATAGGAGCTTTTGCTTAGGTTAGCGCAAATTAGGAAGCAAGATCCCTTCCATTGCGCTCAACTCCTTTGTGTGTCGAACAGCAAGGTGGTTGAGCCTTTTGCCAAGGGAGGTTACTTTTTGCACTAATTCTGCGGAATTCCACAAAAAACTAAGAGCAATGAATGTTCTAGAAATCCTGAATATCACAGATGTGTAAAGAATAGCACACATGTGCCTTTTTTAGCTTTTCTGGCTTTCGAAAGAAATTTCTGCTGATTTTCGGTGTTTTTTCCCCTCAAAAACAAGGTTGCCAATTCTACCCATTCTCTAAAAATGTTCTATTTTTAGTTTTTTTCTTGCAAAATCCCAACATATGTTTTTCGAGTGCTGTACACTCTCATTCGTATGTGTTTGCTATAGATTTGCCATTGCAATCGCGAACGGGGCTCGATGCCCTGCCCGTCCTGTGCGGCTCCTCACGCGCAAATACTTGATGGATTGTGTCAACGCCATATGCTTTGTTTGTAGGTTAAGCCATGCATGTCGAGTTTCATCTCAGGAGAAAATATCAGATTGTGATTTCACAGCTATTTTAGCTCCTCCATTTTGCAAGCCTCAAAGAGCTATCCTGCTTGGAGAAGCCGTCCAAGGAGATCAACGACTAGTGAGCCCTCTGCCTAGAGATCCCCCCTTTCTGTTCGCTCAGGGTCCTTAACGGATTCGTCCGTCCCGGGTTAAGTTGGTCAGCCAAGCCCTGGTTTCTTCTGCCTTCCCATACTGCGTCCGTGCAAGGGAAAAGGAACTCGGTAGAGGCATTTTCACTTCTTGAAGAAGGAGAACGACCTGGCTCTTCCAGCAAGGAAACTTTGATCTTCGACATGCTACGATTTTTTTTGTATGATTTTTGGATAAGTTTTTGCATACTTTTTGGATGTTTTGGATGTTTTCGTTTAATTTTTTGGCGCATTTTTGTGTATAACAATAAACAATAAATTCTGAACTATTTTGTCCATTGCACGTTCACTTTTGAGCTATAGGAAACGGTTACAAGCAGGCTTTCAGAGGCGGTCGGTAGTCAATGAAAGCAAATTTGTCATCAGTGGTCGAAACATAGAATGGTATAGAATTTATGTGGAAGGGCCTTTGACTAAAACACGCCCTGTAAGTTAGGTCCCCAAGATTACTTTCTACGTAAGATCCCCATATGTCTAGATCTGCCAGAACGTTGCCTTCAATGTACTATCCAACACATGGCAACAATGCTTCTCTACCAGCCTTTGTCTGTGTTCCAGATGTTTCTTAAAACACACGTGCAAAAACCTCGGTAACTGCACGATGATGGATAGATGTTTCTGCTCACAAAAACAGTTGTTTACCTCTCTGTCTGCAATTTTAAGATTCTGGTCACTGAGCACCTTCTGTGCACTAATGAAATCTATAATCTGTGAAGAAGCAACAATGGCGGATCGAAGAGAGGATCTTCACCGCGAAGTCATTGTGATTTGGATAGGTTTCAAATAACGAAAGTAGTTATCTTTGAACTTTGAAACTTCATGTTCCAGTTTGCCTGATGAAACTTTTTTGTGGGTAGATCAAGAAACTATCCCAGTCCATTTGACTATTATGGAAGTCGCTTACCATGATTGATTGCTGAAGAAAGAAACGTCATTGCCATGTAGTTGGACTACACTCCTAATATGTTTAAGAAGATGTTGCTAGAAAGTAAAAACCTACCTTTTCATTGATTTAATCCTTTTTAGCGGATGATTCTTTCCAATTACCATGTCGAGCATGCGGTTTTTGAAGTTTGATTTTTGTCTTGATTTAGTTATCTCATTTTGTAGCTGAAAGCTGTAGCTTCAAATAGTGCCTGGTGCTAGTTGGAATGCAAAAAAGTTGCTTTCAAAGTATATTCATGCCAACATAAGCAAGATCGCTCCTCAAGCAATCTAAAAAAAATGCTCGTAAATTTTTATGCTATTTTCTTCGCCTTCAGGAAGTTTTGAAAGAGCACGACTCATATAATTTTATCTTTAATTCATATGCTCTCCTCGTCTCACAAAGTTGATGACTATGAAATTTGCAGTGATGTAATGTTTAGATTAGAAAGAACGAACTTGGATTGCTAACGCAAAGCAACAAAATGATAGAACATAGTAGTTTTTTTGGAGGAAACCCACGTGTAGGAGTTTTGTGTATGTGCTCCCTAGCGGCACTCGGTCTGATGTCGTTTTGTTTTTGCCAGCTTTCCAAACCGAGCTAAAGAAGTT